CAGCAGTGACTAGGGGCAGATGGGAGGGCTGAGAGAATAATTGTTTAGGAAGCATATCTGTCCTGGTCATGGGAAATTTGTCGATTGTAATACTTGAACAACATGTTTAATGTCACTGATATCACTAAATTGTACCCCAGGAAAATGTTGGACTGGTGAACGCTGTGTATATATGGTTTTCTAACACTAGAAAAAGATGCTAATGATAACCATTTTCCCAGTGAGCCCTTGGAACGAGTGTGTATGGTTAGAGAGCAAAGTGATGTTAAGCACTTGCTCCCTTCACACCCAAGGGCCTGGTTCATTCCACAGCATCGGCTCCGATAGGTTGTGGCTACTGGGTCCACAACCTCTTTTTTTTCTTTTTGTGTGCCATCGAATCAGATCGGACTGGCACAGGAGGAGATTGCCCCTCCTTCTCCAGTGGAGCATTGGGTGGATTCGAACCATCTACCTCTGGGATTGCAGTGTAGCTTCTTGCCACTAGGCCACCAGAGTTCCCTGTGGCAACTGTTTTTAACTCAGAACAGGATGCAGTTTTCCAATGATGAGAGACCAGGCGAGGTATGCACCTGACACTGATAGTCTCTCCTCTTCCTCACAAACAGGCCAACCCTTTCCGAGACCGGATCTGCCGAGTATTCTCCCACGACAATGTGTTCTCCTTTGAGGACATGCTGGGCATGGCCTCTGTGTTTAGTGAGCATGCCTGTCCCAGCCTGAAGATCGAGTACGCCTTCCGTATCTATGGTGGGTGCCAAGGGGACTGCATGGAGATGTGGGGAGGGCCATCGAGTGAATATCACAGCTGGGATCTGTCAATATCACTCGTTGGTGGGATGGTGTTAATTGAATTTTACCCAGATATAAATTATGATGTTGTTATTGTTGAGTACCATCGAGTCATAACCAACTCATAGCTGACCCTCCAGAAGTTATTCAGAGGCAGTAAATTGAACTGGAGGAGACTGCCTATCTTTCTCCTGCGGAGCAACTGGCATATTTGAACTACATACCTTGTGTTAGCAGTGCAGTTCCTTACCACTAAGTCACTGTTAATGTTGTTCTTGATTGCCGTCAAGTCAAGCATGACTCTTAACAACTCTTTGAACAAAAGGCCAGAAGCCCCTCTACAAATATTGACATTTATCAAAGTTCATAGAGTTTTCAGAAGCATGTTGTTTAGGAAGTGGATGCCACTCCTACTTCCAAACTAAGCCACTAGAACTCCAAATGACTGAGAAGCAATGATGTCAGTTTGAAGACTAAGACATACTGGATTCCAACCATGTTATTTCCATCACTTGCTATGCTTCTGAGTGCTGGACAGTGAAAGGATGACAGAAGAACTGATGCCTTTAAACAGAGGCGTTGGAGAAGAGTATTGAATACTTAGTGAGTCCAAAAGAACAAACAGGTATGTCTTAGAGAGGTCCAGCCAGAGATCTCCTTGGAGACAAAGATGACAAAGCTTCATTTTACATGCTCTGAGCATGTTTCTAAGAGAAGCTATTCCTTGGAAAGGGACATTATGCTCGGAAAGGTGGAGGGATGGCAAAAGAGTTAAAGACCTACAAGATAGATTGACACAGTGACTGCAGCAATGGGCTCAAGTGTGTCAGAGATGATGAGGATGGTACAGGATAGGACAGGGTTCAGATGTGTTCATAGAGTTGCTATGAATTGATGGCACCGAA